AAGGGATCAAACTCAGGACCTTGGCGCAGTGCCCCTGAGCTAAATCCCTGGCCCTCCAGCTCTGTTTTAGGGTTTGGTTTTCTCATGCCCCCACCCTGGCCCAGTGAAACACAAATTTACCACAGTGGTATTAAGGGACTGGTGTGAAGTTCAGATGCCCAGCCGAGGATAAAGCTTGACATACCTAAGAGTTTTGCTAACTTATTATATTTTCTCCCAAAAGGTTGAGCATTTAATGAGGCCTACATTATATGATAGCTGTGCCCACATAAAATCAGAACCTTTCACTTAAAAATAAACAGTCTTCTTTTAAATATTCTGTAATTTCCCCTGGCCTGGTCAGTTGTGTTCTCAAGATTTAAACCTTGAACATTTATTACCATGCAAACTTTCAGGTGTGGAAGACTTCTCAGAACTGTATGTGAAGATTTAAGCTAGATGAATAAAAATGGAGATTTCATTTTCTGGTTAAGGACAATTTCCATTAAATAACAGTGTTAAAATTATGAATCTAACCCAAAGTACTGCAGTGCGGTCACTATGTATATTGTCTTGGGGCGTAAACTCAGGCAGATTTAACTGATGGTGGCATTTAAAGCTGTGAAATTCTAGCAGAACACTGAAAAATAACAGGTAAGAATTTTCTATGCCACCAAGAGAAACAAATAATTGTTTGTGTGTTTTAAGGTTGTCTATAAGCAGAAACATGGTGCTGGCAAAGGACTCTCAGATTACGCCCGGATGAAGGAGCCGCCTGAGGTCAAACATGCCATGGAGGTCACAAAACACCAAAGCAACGTAAGAAAGCTTATTCCTCACTATTTCCTGGAAGGTTGCAGTTGTCCACCTCAAGACTTGTGATTATTTTATTGAAATTTAAATATGACATCTATTCCAAAATAACTTTAGAATTTCTTTATTAGTGTGAGCTGCATCTGAAACATTCTGATGATAGTCACTGAAACCTTGTGGAATGTTTCTAAATTGTCAGGCTTTGAAAATTTTGCTTCGAAGAAGATAAATATGGATCCTTTGATCCATCAGTTTATTGGTGTTTCCAGAGCTTCTTTGACTTGATGCTAAGGCTCATGGTCCCCTAGCCAGGAATAGCAGAAGCACTGGGAAAAAACATCAGCAACCAGTGACCCAGGAAAGATCATTCAGACACGAGCTAGCCTGCACCCTAGCAAGACCCAGCAGATAATGAAATATAAATTCATCAGATGCCCAATAGCTGAGTGAGAAGCAAAAACCAAGAGGGAGAGAAGAATCTGTAGAAAGCAGAGCTCTTCTTTGGTTATAAGTTGCCCACCCCGTCAAGGCTTCCAAGGCATTTCCTCAGTTACTGCCACTGTCCTGTTGGTCCAGGAGGACAATTTCTTCCTGGAATTATAGTGGAAGCTCGTTTGCCTCCTCAGAAGAATTCTCTGCTCTCTGAAAAAGATGTAGGAACTCATGGTCAGGCTCTTGATGGATGAGAAAGCTCTGTCTCCCTACTTCCTGTTATCTCTCTTTTATTTTGCTCTTTATGTATACTTTGGGTTTCTCATGTGAGAGAAGCCACGTGCTCTTTAAGCTGTGTGTCTCATGGCATTTAGACGCACTGGGGTATTGCTCTAACATAAAGATAAACTTGAGTCATTCGTGTGAAAATGGATATACCTTAAGGCCATAATGATTTTCTTCTTAAGGATATGCTTCTCTTTCATAGTTTATATTCTTTATGCCATGTTGTAGGTTAGTTAGAATAGTAAGCGTATAGAGGTAGTGACTGTATGTCAGATTCTGTTCTGTGCACTTCACAAATATTTATGCCATTTACTCCTCACAATAACCCCCTGAGGTTTTCCAGTTTTACAGCTATGGAATCTGAAGCACAGAGTTGGAAGTAACTTTTCCAGGTAACAAAGCTGGGAAATGGCAGAATCAGCATGCAAATGTGGGTAGTCTGGCTCCAGAATCTGAGTTCTTAGTCACTCACCGTTGTACATTTTTCTTCCATTTATGCCTCTCTTTTGCTTATTAAACAAATTACTTGTTTCTACAGAATCTTTTTACGTTTAAGTAGAGGAAACCTCAACAATTATAAAATGGCCTAATAATCAATTCCACTTAAAAATACTGAGCATACTTACTCTTTGCAGAAATCTGTAAGGGCTTCATTATTATAAATTTAAACATCCACTGTGTACCCAGCTTGGCAGTAAGGTAATCTCAACTATGCAACATGGGGCTAAAAATACATGATGTCAAGGACTGCACGGCTGGCTGTGACTCACATGCCCTTCGTTGTTTCTGCCAGCATCTGGTCATCAAGGTCGGTAATACTGGATACTTTATAAAGCACATAATACAACACAACACTTGATATGAGATGAGCAACAAACATGCAGTAAAGATAGAAAAAAATCTATTATCTTTATTTGGGAAGGTAACATTTTTCAGATGCATACTCAGTTTTTTGGAAGCATATCATTTTTCGCACCTTTGAATAGCATAAATGGGCCTGTGGTACACACGTACTTGCAATGTGGAATTTAGCATGCAAGGTAATCCATATTGGATATTTTGGGATCTTCCTACTGTTTTTGCTGAGAGCAGGTTCTCCCCGATGTTGCTAATATGTGTCATCCTCTGATGGAATAGACACCACTGGGAGGACATGTATGCATTCTTGGTTAACAGTGGTTTCTGTTGGGATGAATCTTTGAAATTCTCAGGCAGAAAAAACCTAGATCCCAAATAAGGTGTCTCAAAGATTTGCAGAACTGCAATGATATTTCTTTAGATTTACATGCATCAGTTTTGTTACTTTTAAGAGTTTGTTTCTCTGAGTGTACCAGGCAATGAGAGGCAACAGAGCAGAAGAGCGATTTCCAAGTGTCTGTGATAATTAAACATCTGAATGTCTACTGTGTCCAAATGGTATCAGATTTATGGTGACATAATTCAGAGTATTAGAGGAATTCTAAAACTTAATACATTCTGGGTTTTAATGAAAAGTCTAAGACTTTTGACGAACAGACTATTATCTTAAAATCAGATGCTCACATTCAAATTAGTGTGAAATGGCAAAGCTATTTAGATTTATAACTGCAGAAGAGGATTGATAGGAAAAGTACCCTTGAGAAAAGAGGGAAGGAGAGTCATGGAGTTGTATTAGCCACCCTCTACGAAAAGTTTTTATAAGCAAAGATCCCAAAGAAACCTCAAAATGGAATGGACTGTGTGTCAGGGAGTGGTAAGATCGCTTTCAGTGAAAGTGTTGCAGGCAAAGGCTAACTGATCCCTTATCACAGATGTAGTGTGGGCTGTTCAGGCATCTGGACCGAGCAGCTCAATTATATGCTGTCGGAGCCACCGGGTCCCAGTCTGGAGTTCAAAGACGTCTGCTGTGGGATTAAAAGCACACTCATCTATGCAGTATACAAAGTATACTATAAGGCAAACATGTACAGGTATATATGTGTCTCTGTGGCTATGAGATATAAAAACCTAGAAGATAAAATGTGTATGATAAATATATATATTACTTATGTAAACATATCTATATGACTATTACAAGTGTTCTTCATTTTTTTGATGTCTCAAAATCATACCATCTGAGTTCTCAAAGTGTGAAGAAAATAATTTGAATCTAGAGAAATACCATATAATAATGACAATCCTAAGAAATCAAAATTATCAGAAAATTTATTAGCTTGCCATAATTTTCCATTAGCTATTTTAAGGAAAAAATTAATATAATAAATTAAAGTTCAGCTGCCTCCAATTTGTTACAGTCTTAATTCTAAGTGGTACTTAGTAGCAGCTATAAATGAAATGACTATGTTAAAGCTGCAAGTAGAAAATTATGTAGCCTTTTTAAGAAATTGCTTTCAAAAATTGAACTTTATGAGTCACCATTTCTATGATAACTCACGCAGTGATCAGCTGCATTGATTGTGCTTATAAAATCGCAAGTCTCACTGTTTAAAATACAAAACGCACCAGGCAGCCATCAAAAAGATCAACACATACCAGCACTCTTAATTTAAAAGCAGGAACAAATCTCATAAAAATTTTTCCTTGGGTTTATAGGGTTGGCCACTCATTAAGCTCCTTCTTCCACCCCACCCCCCGAGTTATAATACAAAGCCTAATGAAAGTGAGGTAATGGACTTCTTAAGTTCTTAAGGGTTTTCCTGGTTAACATTAGCCACTGACGAAAATGTAAAGACACGTTCATCTGAATTAGGCATCTCGATGGAGTAAGTTGATGGATAGACTAACAAGATGTATTATACTTGGAATATTGTGAGGTGCCTTATTTGAGTCCTGGTAACCAACCAGATGCACAGAATTGGATCTGGGAACCTGACTAGGAGGGGCTCAATATGACTTAAATGCATTAATTGACTGAAATCTCATTCTACTCATCAAAAGGAAAATGTTGTGACCTACAGATGCATTACTTGCCTTTAGCAAGTCAGAAAGGGTGAGCCAGATTAAATGAAGTGATTCTGATTAGGTTTAGTTCAGGTTTTTGTGGGCATCTTAAGAAAGAGATGGACCAATTGGGGTTTGGATGAAGAAGAACATGTGTGATCAGGAGTTCAGCGCCTTCCTCCATGCAGGCATTCTGGGGGAGTGGAAGTCCCCGATGACTTGGAAATTCCGAACTGTGGACTTGGCTCTTTCTGTATGGTCAGATAAATGTAGCTATGGGGAGATAGACTGGCGTTTGATTAAAAGAAGAACTTTCAATGAGAACTTTCAACTTTAGAGAGTGAGATGTCCCAGGTTGAGTTCTCTTGCAGTAGAGGTTTTAAAGAAGAGGAGCTGGAGAGGGCATTTAAGCATGCATGGTTGTACTAGATAGCTGGTTTGGGATGGGAAGATCTGATATCTTTATTGTAAAAATCAGTTTCATAATCACCACATTGATCCTTTAAATTGGTGTATCACCTAAGCTAAATGGGTCATTAATTCTGTTTATAAAAGCCAAAGTGTTAAGTTTAGGAGAATATTAAATAATATTTAGGAGAATTTATTCATCCATTCACTAGGTATTTATGCATTTCTCCTCTGTGGCATTTGCCATGACAGGCACAGAACATTAAGAGATGTGTGAGATAGAGCAGAGCTCTCTAGGACCTCATTTTGGTGGAGAATGCTTCTTTCAGTCTGTGGGTTTTTTTCCCCCGTTGAAAATTAGACCTGTTTTTGTTCTTGCTGAAGACTGTTCTAGTTTTCCTTTTTAAATTGCTTTTGTTATGCTAAATAATTCCAACTCCACTTAGTATATATTCTTAACCTCTTAGTGTATTTAAAAATTAATTTTGCCACTCCATCCTTTACATGCTACTGTTTCCCCCCACTCATTCAGTTATTCATTCATCACTTAGCAGATATTCACTGATGCCAATTTTTTGGCAGGATGCTAATTCTGGACTGAGGATTGTTCTAGTAGGGGGAGACAGACAATAAGATATTTTACAAACATTAAGAAAGGAACTACAAGGGCTGTGTATTTAGCTCAGTGGTGCCACTGCCTTCCTGTCAAGTGCAAGGTCCTGAGTTCAATCCCCGGTACACACACACACACACACACACACACACACACACACACAGAAAGGAACTACAAGCCTGGGATTTAGCTCATTGGTCAATCCCCGGTACAAAAAAAAACAAAGAAAGAAACTACAAATTTTGCAGGAAATAAATAAATTGTATAAATTGAGAGTGAAAACTTGGTTGTTGTCTTTTGGATCTTTAATTTCCAGCTTTTTTTTTTTTTTTTTTTTTTTTTTTTTTTT